AATATTTATTTATAAAAAAAATAAATAATATTTCAATTTATAATAAAGGTTTTTGGATACTAGAGAGAGAGAGAGAGAGAGAGAGAGAGAGAGAGACTAAATTATGCTAAATTTATCTCTCTCTCTCTCTCTCACTCACTCACTCTCACTATATAGAGACAAACTTTATCAATTATTTTAATAATTATTGAATAAAAAATTATGCAACCAAAAATTTTATTAGACAAAAAGTAAAAGCATTTCAGAATTTTGAAAATCAATTTCGGGGGTCCAGTACAGTTTACTAAAAGCAGCATGCGCGCTCACAAACCGCTATGATATTATTGCCGCTCCACTGAGTATCACTGCAAGTGTCATCGTACCACTGATTACCGTTTGGTATGTACGCCCACACGCATATCTGATTACCACCGGCATTATTGGGATCGGTACTGGCGAAGTTATTGTACATGGTCATGTTGTCGCCGTCGGACCATATGAAACTGGTGGACTTGTTATCGCCAATGTCCACCCTGGTGGTCCATAGCCACGCGCTACCGCCCAGGTTCGCTGACGCGAATAGCGTGGTCAAAAAGGTATTTTTCATGCTATTTTTGTCGGTGATCAGGTGAGCGCCGTACGTGTTTTTGCAATAGGCTAGCGCAGCACCGTAGGTCATGCCCGTGTTGGGGCCAATGATCACGCACGTGTTGTCAGGTGCCAGGCTCCATCCCGGTGGACAGGCTGTTTTTATATTTGTATGGGAATAACATTAGAAATGTATATAAAATTAAATTTAATACATGTATATACATTGTATATAATAGTATTTAAAAGTATAACTCATTAGTTTTCACAATTAAAATATTACTTAATTTTTACTTTTATATGACAAACTCTCTAGCTAATATAATGAAAATTAATCAAGCTCAATTTGCAACTTACTTGATGGTCCTGAGCACTGGGAGCAATTTGTAGTCGCGCCGCATACACAATTACAATTACACGCAGGTGGGCACGTGCCTATTAATAAATGCAAAAATGTACCATTTACAATTAAACAATTAATGACAAGTGTACATACCTTGAGCGTAAACGCTGACAATGAATGACAGCATAACATAGGCAACTGAGCCGGCTATGATTTTATTGAACATTATTGATTATTATAGTAAATATAATAGTAGTACAGTAATG